TCTGGTGAGTACTGTGTGACTCAGTCTATAACCCTCGTCGTCCTACAGGGTGGAGCGCCTTCTCCCTTCGATAGAAACTTTGGGACAAAACTCTCTGCCAGAGCCATGCAGTGGATTACTTCCAAACTGAAGGAATCTCATGGGACAGGTAGAAACATGGGGGTTTGGAAGGGGGATTGGGGGGGCTGTTAGTGCACTTGGTGACTGAGACTGAAGCTGGCAGTGTAAAATAAGGTGTCTGCCCCTCTATTTTTAATTCTGCACATGACAAAACTGGGTTAATCCTGCTAGTCTCTGGAAGCTTTTAAGGTAATAATTAAAATATAAATTAGTATGCGCACCTCCTTCCCCCTTACACACACACACTCACACACACACAACTAAAAAACGACTGACCACTCCCCGTTGAGCAGAGTAGAGCCCCTCTGTAGGGCTTTCTCAACTTCCAGCTTTATAGAAGGAGATGCCAGGTGGCGGGTTCAAATGGCTAACTCTTAGGTTTAGGAAGTTCAAAAACAAAAGCCCAAACAAACCCAAACTCATTGCCATGATGTCAATTCTAGCTCATGGCAGCCTTGCAAGATGGAGTAGCACTGCCCCTTGAGTCTCCCCGGCTTTCCAGCTACATCTTGCCGCTGGTTGCTGCTGGTGGGGCTCCCACTTCCACCCAGCCTTTCAGTTCACAGCTGAGCACTTGAACCACTTCCTACCAGCTCTGCTTTTTAGGTGAAGAGAGTCACACTTCCTACCAGCTCTGCTTTTTAGGTGAAGAGAGTCACACAGCTGCTTGCCCCATGAGTACCTCAATTCGAGAAAATGCTTCTTCATTCTTGCTCACTCTACTGATGGCAGTCATTCAAATAATTGGGTAACTTTTTTTTCTTTTAATAAGTAGAAAGTTGCTATACACATTGTCTTTTATTAAGACTGTGAAAGGTAATATTTTTAACTTTTTATCTTTTTTCTTTTTGCTACATGGAGCACTTTCTTTGAACTGACTTTAAGATACATAGACTTATTTGTTGATTCATTCAATACTAATTTTTATAGAAAAACACCAACAGCATTGGACTGGGAGGTTTCTGGTCTGTTTTCCTCCCACAAAACCCATGTCTTTTTTAAATCATAGTTTACTCTCTCTTGACCAGAACTACTCTGGATATTCTGAGAGCCACTCCCTACTTTTCCTACTGATGCTTCAAATTTCAAGTGGCACTGTGGGCTAAGCTAACCACAGGGTCAGAGGTTCAAACCCACTAACCGCTCCTTGGGAGAAAGATAAAACCTTTTGCTCCCATACATACTTAGAATATCTTGCCCTGTCCGACGTCTCCCTTCACCCACTTTTCTGTTGTCCATCCCCCAGGGAGGAGGTCACCTATAGTTCCTTGTAACCGGTTCTCTCTTTCCTACCCACTCTCCCTCTACACTCCCTGTGATTTACATATTAAAGATAAAGCATTTAACCGATATTAAAAATAGAACATTTAACAGAAGTAGCAAATGCTTTCTTTTCTGCTTTGCTGTACCATACGGTTTACATGGGAATTAATGATGGCACGGGTAGTGAGGGCTCAATGGTAGACTCCTACCCTTTCTGGGTTTGAGTCCCAGACAGTGTACTTACCTCATGCACAGCCAGTGCCAGTCTGTCAGTGGAGGCTGGTGTGTTTTATATGATGCTGAGCAGATGTCACATGTATACTTCCATATATACAGGAAAAAGCTCTTTCAAACTACACATTTTTCCCGCTAGGCGAGCATCGAGCAACTCGCTCTAGGTTAGTGCACCCAGTGGCGTCCCCTGGGAAGGTTCTCTCTGGCCACAGTGAAATTTTTCATAAAAGCAGTTTCACTCAAACCTCATTTTTTGTGATGGCCGATTTAAGAGAACAGCATGGGGCTGTGAAATTTAGTTTCCTGCTCAGGAAAAAATGCCGTAGAAAGTTATGATGTTGAACACAGCTTACAAGAATACTATAGGAAAAAACTCAAGTGTACAAGTGGCTTCCTTTTTTTCAAACAGGCAAAATGTCAATTGATGGCAAACCTCATTCTAGACTCTCTTGGAACTCGGTTCAAAGGGCCTATGAATCCCCCCCAAACTTAATGATGAAATGGTAGGGATGTATGTATTTTGTGCAAATGTTGACAATGCTTCTCATATTCTTAAAGGGAAGTGTGGACTTTTCTCAGAAAAGCTTAAGAAATCTTGATGTGACCCTAAAACAATGAAGGTTTTATTTCACTTATCTGATTCAAATCGTCTATATCTTAACCAGTAAAAAACAAAAACCCTATTTCACGAGGCCTAGCAGATTTTTTTGTTGTTGTTTCCAACTGCATGCGAGGGGGTGTTGTT